TCCATGTGCTGAGGCTGGTTTCCCCCTTACTAATTGAGGAACTTCTTGAAAAACCGTGCTGGTGAGAAGAGGCTGCAGCGACAGAGTGGCTCAGGTGGGTGTCTTGTTACAGCTGCCCAAGGCATGAGTCCAAGTCCTGCTCTGGACTCCTACCAGTGGGGTGGGGAGGGGGGTCACAAGATGGTCCAGCATAAATGGGCACCTGGTTATTGGAGCAGAGTCAGAGGCAGCCACATCACTCCCCTGCGTACCATTAGCACACCCGAGCTGGCACGCCAGTACATCTTAAGCAGGTTCTCTCCTGGCTCAGGTAGCCCTCAACTGACTGATGGGCATTTTCTGAAGTGCTCAGCGCCAGCCTTGTTCTGCTTCCAGTTGGGTCAGTGGATGCATTTGAGCTTCCTGGTGAGAGCAGATCAGAGTAGGCCCAAATGCCATGCATTAAAGACCCCTCCTTCCTGCTGTTTGCAAAGCCCCCGGGGCTGAACTATATTCCCCCTAGAATCCAGCAGCAGCTGCTCAGGTGAGGCCAAATTCTGGGAAGGCAGCCTGCAGGGAAACCTGCTAATGGATCTCTCCACCAGGGCTTGAGGAGGAAGACTCTGGCAACAATTCCCCCAAAGGGTTAAAAACAGTGGGTTAGTCTGTTGTTTTATTACTGCTGACTTGACTTTTTTAATTAAAAAGAAAATCAATAAAAGATTCTGGCTCTTCCCTGGCGCCAATGGTTGAATTGTACTGCTAGGCCAACCACGCAGATACAGTAGGGTTCTCTCCCCAGGTAAATAATAAAGCATCTAGTTCTTTTGGGGCGGCCCCCATCCCGTGCTGTCCATGAGCTGTCTGTCGCACGTTAAAGAGAAGGGGCTGGCCACTGGCAGGGGAACTCAAATACTGACTGCAGCATTAGCATAGGGTTGTAGAGCAGAGGGGGCAGAACAGGAAGGGTGTCCAAGAATCTGGGTTTGGGCCTCACTCTGGACTCAAGCCAAAAGATGTCCCCAGTTAACCTACTTGTAAACGGGTCGGGGGAGTCAAAAGGCACTGGATGCAATGACAGCCATTTCACTCCTCTGTGCACCATCAGCTTTACAGACTGGTGTGACTTTGCCCACCTAAGCCAGGGGACCAAGGTGGTTTTCAGCCCAACCTTTGTAGGACAGGGAGTTCAGACTCCTTCTGGCTTCTGTTCCAGCTCTGCTCGCTGTGTAACCTGGGAGGAAGTCCGAAATAGTGTGGCCCTTTCCGTACCAGAGAAGGACAGTGTGCCCCCGCTGCCCATTTCTAAAGCAGGCCACTTGCTTCCTACTTTGTAGGCTGATGGAGCATTTAGAGAGAGCTTGGAGGCTGGCCCTACAAACCAAAGGGCTGAGATCCAGGGCCAACGGATGCAATGCAGAGCGTTTACAGCCACCAGCATGAGGGTTTCCCTTCATGTTGGAAGCTGGGGGCAACAGGTGTTGCTTAAGGGGCTTTAAAACACCTGCTGAGACTAGAGAACTGTCCCTGCATTGCCAAGAGGGGCAGGAACTTGCATGAGACAGATGCAGCTCTTGGCTTGTTCCTCTTTGCTACACCCTTGTGAGCAAGCAGGCAGTGTGAAGAGAACTTCACTTGGCACCCGGGGTGTTTAGCAACACTCCAGCAATGAGCCTCATTCTGGGGTGGGACCAACTCCTTACACCTGGGTACAACTCTAGAGGCCCAATTCACTGGCATGCATCAGGTATGACATTGGTGGGTTACAATGTGTCATGAAAAGGAGCTCTAGGCAAACCCAGAACGTCCCAGAGCTGCCTGGTTTTGGATGGATCCCTGCTGTGATCAAACCGGCAATGGGGTCAGAATGGTGAATTTTGTAACAGCGAGGTCTACACACTTAGTAAAGGACAGAGGTAGTAGCCAACTCAGCCGACCAGAACTACATTTCAGTCTTCACCAACAGAGCCTGGAGGCTGTATGCCCCATCCCAGCAGCCCGCTTGAGTCTAGCATCTCAATCTCCATTTCCCTGCAGGCTTGCACAAGGAGACCAATAAATGCAGACTTCACTTACAAGTTACATGTATTAAAAAAAGGACAAGGAGAGTCTAGTACAGAGATGAACAGTCATAAAAGGCTCAGTGCTTTCAGTGTTCAAGAAACGAGTACAAAAATAATTAATCTTTTAAAGAGTTTGCTACAGTGTAAGATCCTTTATAGCTTGGTTATATCAAGCCCCAGAGGGGCTGAATGTACAAGTATTTCATAGTGTTAGACCAGGGGTACTTAACCCCCGGCCGGTGGGCCAGATCTGGCCTGTGGCACTGTGTTATCCAGCTCACAGGGCTCCCCAGGGATTTGAAAACCTGGCGGTGAGGAAATAGTGGCACCACTCCCCAGCTGCCAAATTTCCAAACCCACAAGGGGCCCCAGGCTGTGTACTGACTTAGGCACCCGATCCCAGTGTGCTGGGCTGGGCAGGGGTGGTGCTGGGCCCTGCTTCCAGTGTGCAGGGGCAGGAGGGGGTTATTCTGAACTTCGCAGCACCAGGTCCTGGTTTGACCCCAGCTGCAAAGCAGCACGACAAAGGATTCAGTAAAATATGGGATTATAACATCTCCCCGCATCCCCTGATCACCTATAATGTGAACAAACTAAAGCTGCCTTAAAGAAACACTGCCAAGGTAGTGGCTGTGCTATTAGCACCACTTTTGATTATCAGAAAGAAGAAAGCATATTTTGCACATGTGGGCTCTTGACTTTCTGT